CAATGTTGAGAACAACTCTTATTGCTCTACGAGGGTACCGAGGAAAGAAGGTGGACACCAAACGTGAGATTCAGCTATCAGAAGTTTCATACAACCTCATCCCTGCCCCTATAATGGAGTAGATCATGTGTTTTGTTAAAATGTTTTTGAAAAAATTATTAGTAGCAATGAATTGTGCTCTGCCAATTGCAACACTTAAAATTTGATTGTGCTCTGCCAATTGCATCACTTGATTTAATTGAATGTATATATATACTGTTTGACATATTTTTCTTTAAAAACAGTAGAGAGTGAGGCCGACTCAATGCAGATGATGATGATAGTCATCAGATCATAGATGACTACTCGTTTCCGGTTAAGTTGATACGAGTTTCGGAAACTTTCAAAAAGGTTCAAAATTAGATTAAAACAATCCCGGCCCCAGCCCCGGCCCCGGCATATTTTAGCCAATCCCGGCCCCGGCCCTGGCAACATTTCAAAATCCCGGTTAATCCCGGCCCCGGCTGATTCAACTTGGTCCCGGCCCCGGCTAAATTTCGTCCCCGGTCGATCCCTGCTATTGGGTCACCTAATGCGTGTTTTGACTCAGCGGGTAATTACTCCTACCCTTTTTAACTGCGGCAGTGAAATCCCGGCCGAAGGCCGGGTTACAGTTACACTAGTATATATATAATGTCACAATGACCCTATATAAAACCAACCTTTTAAAAATTATTATATTCCATATCTCAAATATTGAGAGAAACGTTTGAAAATCACCCTTGACCTTGTGGCTTCGAGTTCAAATCTAGACTATCTGTATTAACAAAGTTTCCCCGGAGAGAAATCACTCCCAGAAAACTTTACTGGTAGGGGCCTAACTTCGAAAATTAAAGAGATAGAAACGTCTGGTTTTCAACAAAATGTTCGTTTCGTAAAACTAAGGTTACCTCCCCAGGAGGAAAATTAGGGACATTGTAGATTTTGAGTTATCTCAAAATCTCCAGAAAAGGAGTATAAAATGTTTCAAACAGTATACACATCATGTCACAATGACCCTATATAAAAATAGCCCTTCAAAAACTCAATATTTTGAAAATCACCCTTGGCCTTGCGGCTCCAAGTTCAAATCTAAACTGTCTATATTCACCAATAGTAAAATTATTCAAACAATATGCACATAATTGTCATGCACAATAACCCTATATAAAAACAACCCTTCAAAAATCAATATATTCCCTATCTCAAATATTGGGAGAAACATTTGAATATTAGTAAAACAAAGTATTTTAGTAAAACAAAGTATTTTATTTATTAGCAGTGCAATCAATTCATATGATATAATTATAAGAATATAATAGTATGTCACACCTATTTAACTGTTAACCTTGGCCTTGTGGCTCCATATTGAAATCTAAACTGTCTATATTGAAAAAGTTCTTTCTCGCCCCTCTGTCTCCAGAAAAGTGTCATTTTGGGCCGATTAAAAGTTTGCAACTTTAACTTTGCAGATTTTTGTCGTCTGATTGGCCAAATTGTGTCACGTGCTAGCTGCTTGGACATGGACATTGGAATGCGCCACGCGTGCAAATCAAACTTAATGTCGCTCGTGGTTAATTGAAGTCGTTGTAGGTTTACAACCTACCAGGACGCGCGCCGAGTTGGACTCGTCGACGGTCCAATATATGGAACAAATATTTTTCGAGTACCATCCGTTAATTGAAGTCGACGAGTCCAACTCGGCGCGCGTCCTGGTAGGTTATAAACTTACAACATGATACACCATATAATATATATCATATTTTTCATACGTTGTATGACCCGCCGCGCACGAGGGCGCGGCTCCCCTGTATCGTAGAAACTCTAAAGGGGTAGTTTGCTCTAACCAGAGCCCTCTCGCTTGCAGTAGCGCGCGTCACGCAGTACGTATATGTACGCGTAGACTCTGCATGGCTATGTTTACCTTGGGACCCTAGGCTATTATGTTCATGAACATAGCCTGGCGTAATTGAACCCTCTCAAACCACAAACGCGCAAGTAGGCGTGTTTATGCAATTTTACAATTAAATAATTTGTAGCGCGATGCACTACTGGGTCGCGTCGCGCATTTAGGCTTTCACAACTGTCCGAAAATTTTAGTGGATATCGGAGTTGATATAGTGATGAAAATGGGGCAAAATACGCTGCTTTTAGCTGTAACATAATGTTTGATGGTTGGATTTGACCATTGTTAATGACCCGGCGCGCGCTACTTCGTAGCTCTTGCCATCGGGCTACTACTTCGAAGAAATTTAGACGAGTAACATCCGTCAATGGTTGGATATGCTTTAAATTTTCGGACACTTTTCTTGTTGCTCTATCCAGAGCCCTTGCGCTTGCAGTAGCGCGCGCCCGCCTCACGGCGGTTCTTGACTTGTGAAACAAGCGCGCCTGCAGTGGCGCGAAAGCACATGGTTAGGTGAACTTTTCTTGTAAGTCTATGACATATAAGTAAGCTAACCAATTTTGGTTAAAATTGGATTGAGGGAAGGTTACTTAATATGCATTTGTTTCAAGAATTTTGTGCTGGCCGAAATTAGCGCTTAAAAACCATCCTACAGTCGGCACGCGCGGCTCACTGTCGATGGCGCACTACCTATTGGCAGCGGTCCACTCTACCCATCCCAGGAACCCTGACCGGATGGGGCTTAACTTTGAAAGTAAAAGAGTTGGAGACTTTCGGTTTTTTGTAACATGTTCCTCTTTTAAAAGTAACGTTACCTTTCCAGTCTCCAGGAGGAAAATGCAAGACAACGTAATTGTTGAGTTATCTCAAAATCTCCAGAAAAGTCCCCTTTCGGGCCGATCAAAAGTTTGCAACTTTAACTTTGCGGATTCCTGTACTCTGGTTGGCTGAATTGTGTCACGTGGTAGCTGCCTGAACATATATTGGAATACGCCACGCGTGCAAATCATGCTTGTTGTCGCGCGCGAGGTCATGCCGTCTGTTTAAATTAAACCAACTCTAGTACCACCACCAGCCGGTAACTTTTCCTGGGATGATTATGGGTTTTGGCGCTCAAATATCATCTCTTTTTGATTATAATGTCTGGGTACAAAGTCGAAATGTAAACTCATAACTTCACTAATAAGGAGGTCATTTCAACGATTTCGAAATTTTACCTTTGAAAACATTTCCTTGTGTTTAGGTAGGCACATATATAATATATATATATATAATATATATATAATATGTCGATGATTGATACATGTTTTACTGGGCCGCGCTCAGCCTGCCATTCCGCCTAATCTCTATGTTTATGAACATGATCAATGATAGCCTGAGGTCCTCAGGTAAAACTAAATACATGTTACGTATCACAAATATCAGAGATAATATTATTCCGCCTTCGGCCACGAAAAGTGGCATGCAACGTATGTCAAGTCAATAACTATGACTGAATATGGCATCTTTACTCATTCAAGTTGGCATTTAATTCATATATATTTATAATGCCATTTAACTGTCATGTGATTGCAAAATTTGTTCGAAATCACGAACATGACGAATGAGCAAAATACTCACCTTGCGCACGTGCAAAATTTGAGCGGACGTTGCGTGCGCATGCAATATTGAATCGCCGTAAATTTTTGCATGTTGGTGTATTATGTATTGTTTGATAAGCATGCAAAGTTTCAAAAGATTTCACATAGGACTTAGATCACAACGAGACTCCAAAGTTGACAGAAAATGGCGAAAATAGCAATTTTCAGTGATTTTAGCAATTTTCTATCAATTTGGGCGTGTCCCCACGTATGCAATTTTTCGATTTTCAACTTTAAAAGTAGCCTAATGCACAATATAGACCTATAGGAAGCAGAACTGGGCTCAACAACACCCAAGGTATGCTGGTATGGCCCAACACCAGAGAATACTAAATCGCAAAATTGACGTTTTTATAAATTAATTCTTCAAAAAAGCAGCCTAATGCACAATATAGATCTATAAAAAGCAGAACTGAGCTCCACAACCCAAGGCATGCCCCAACACCAGAAAATACTAAATCACAACTATTGTATTTTTATAAAATTATTCTTTAAAAAAGCACTAACTTCAATAGCAAATATCTTTATAAAGGAGCATTGAGCAAGGTATGAAAACTTTCCGGTAGATTTTCAGAATGCTTGAACAATTATCTAACTTCAATATGTTCCTCAAATTTTGAATAAAATTACTCCTTAATGTTGTAAAATCGATTTTAAAAGTTGTTATTTTGTCAAAAATCTAGTTTTTTAAATGGTTAACCACGTCATCAAGTGGTAATGTTGACGTTGAATTTTTTTATATACCGTAAACTTAAGTCTAAACAATTATTTTCAAGACCTGTGGTCTGAAATGGCTGTATCTTTAAAGCTTTTGAATCTACGGACACTTGAATGTAGGCCACAATTGACTGTAACTGACTGCCAAAGCGTCTATATATATAGACAATCTGTTGTAAAACAGGGGTTCCAGAATACCCACTTCCCGATACTCCTGAAACATGAAATTTTGTTTACAGTCGATTTGGTCAACGTCTAGACGCCCTGCAAAATTTCAAATCTCTAACTCAATTTAAACATGGTTTATGGCGATTTTGGGTTTTTTACCGAATTTCGTATAACATGCTGGCGCGTATTTTGCGCAAATTTCTTAAAAACCTCCACATAACTATTAACTAAATGTCTTATTCCTGTCATCTTTAACATTGAATTCGACTGTTTTGAACTTAAATATAGCTGCTGAAATACTTTCGATGAGTCTTAATGCCTGAAAAACAATAAAGGGGATATTGATAAAGCTTTCGCTGACGTTAAGGAAAGTAGAGATTGTCCAGCAAGGGTGTTAATTAGCTGCAATCCTCCCAAGATAAAATACGTTAGGATCTTAAGATTTTTTAGATATCATTGAGCATAAGCAGTGATACAACGTATCTCGGGATGATCCGCAGAGTCTCGACTAGTTTCGGCTTACCGCCATCAACAGGATCGATGAATCATCTCAAATTATTTGTTATATAGTAGTGTTGAAAGTATTAAAATAAAGGGGATATAATAGTAATTAGTATAGGGGGTAAATAGTATTGTGAATATAATGGCAACAGTAATGCTCGCCAGCATTGTGATACAAGGGTTGGAAATTTCAATCAATACGCCGAATTTATTGGTCATTTAAATTATTAACAACATTGTTAATGGTTGATTGACAATGTCAACTCTTCCAGTTTTCAGATCGCGTAGCTGGCCGTTGATTTGCAAAACAATCCTTAACAAAAGCATTCACGAATTCAACCTCAGACACCCTTACAGTCCGCCCTAAAGAATGCATATATTCTAATTCAATATTTCATCCATATTATCCTCGATAACTCACTTAGTGTTATAGGATAAAGACTATCCCGTCCCATCTTAATCTGTATCATTATTCGTAGCTTTGCAGTATGCATCAATCGTTATGATCGTACGATTTTTGATTGAATAAAGTCTACTTTTATTATAAATATAATGGGGGGAGGGGATTTCAATATTGGGTGCAACTGCATGGTAATAAGTGCACATTAAGTTTGACTCCCAAATAAAAGTCGCACTTAAATATTTAAGTGTAAACTTAAATCATGCAACTTACCTCTTATCGGTCATAATTATCAATGTTTGGAAATATTTACACTAGCGTAATCATTTGGAAAACCCCCAACCCTCCCCCTCAGCTGATTACGGCTTACGAATTGTAATAATTGTCGATTAATTGCATCAATCACATGATGTAAAAATCTCTTTGGGTTGCTTTCGGGTCGATTCCTAGTATTTCGGGATAAGGGTGGTAGTTAGTGTCCAATTAGCTGATGTTTATTGAATCTTTATTGCCGAGTACAGCTGCCTTCGGGTAGTCCTTCTTAATCTATCACAATTGTAAATGAATGGGAAAAGCGAGCGACCGATTTCATTCTCGGTATCATTTTGCATTTGCGGACGGTTATTCCAATTAATATCATTTCCTTTTATTTGGGAAGGAGAGACACTGGCAGCGGTCCACTTTACCCATGAGTATGGGTTTCGTTCAAATACCCAATCGATTTCTCGGGACAATTAACAATCAAATGTCGTAACGCGGTTTATTTAATTTCATTTTAAATTGTTGGCACTGAGTTTACTGTTTTATTAGAAATTTCTTTGAAAGAATCATCAGTAGTTTGAATCCGAATTGTAGTACGTGTATTTATCAAGTAGATCAGAGCAGTTGGAATTTGTGTTTCCTGGACAATTAGATTACCAGTCTGTAGGACTAAAACTATATAATCCTATAACTCCATTTGTCTGACTCAACCGGTCGTTTCATTTTGTATCTAGCTCTCGGCTTGCCGATTGAGCACTGTAAGCTGACGACGCCACCCACAATTAATCCTATAACTCCTACAGACTGCAGGTAACTTAATTGCAAAGGTAAATAACACATACCTTTGCTATGACTCAAGGCTGTTGGAATTTTAATTATTCATCTTCCAATCGTTATAGTCCCTAAATATGCTGGCGTGTATTTTGCGCAAATTTCTTAAAAACCACCACATTACTATTAACTATATGTCTTATTCCTGTCATCTTTAACATTGAATTCGACTGTTTTGAACTTAAATATAGTTGCTGAAGTACTTTCGATGAGTCTTAATGCCTGAAAAACAATAAAGGGGATATAATAGTATAGGGGGTAAATAGTATTGTGAATATAATGGCAACGGTAATGCTTGCCAGCATTGTGATACAAGGGTTGGAAATTTCAATCAATACGCCAATTATATTTGTCATTTAAATTATTAACAACATTGATAATGGTTTAATATATTTATGGTATATAATTTGGGAGTCTCTCTCTTTCCGGCAGCAGGACTTGGAGAATGGGGACGCGTTGTGAAAGCCACCGTGAGGAAAGCTTACTGTCGACGCCGACCAATCAAAAGAAATAATGGTAGATTGAAGATGTCAACTCTTCCAGTTTTCAGATCGCGTAGCTGGCCGTTGCTTTGCAATCCAATCCTTAACAAAAGCATTCACGAATTCAACCTCAGACACCCTTACAGTCCGCCCTAAAGAATGCATTATATATTCTAATTCAATATTTCATCCATATTATCCTCGATAACTCACTTAGTGTTATAGGATAAAGACTATCCCGTCCCATCTTAATGTGTACCATTCTTCGTAGCTTTGCAGTATGCATCAATCGTTATGATCGTACGATTTTTGATTGAATAAAGTCTACTTTTATTATAAATATAATGGGGGGAGGGGATTTCAATATTGGGTGCAACTGCATGGTAATAAGTGCACATTAAGTTTGACTCCCAAATAAAAGTCGCACTTAAATATTTAAGTGTAAACTTAAATCATGCAACTTACCTCTTATCGGTCATAATTATCAATGTTTGGAAATATTTACACTAGCATAATGATTTGGAAACCCCCGGCCCCTCCCCCTCAGCTGATTACGGCTTACGAAGTGTAATACTTGTCGATTAATTGCATCAATCACATGATGTAAAAATCTCTTTGGGTTGCTTTCGGGTCGATACCTAGTATTTCGGGATAAGGGTGGTATAACTATAGTTAGTGTCCAATTAGCTGATGTTTAACGAATCTTTATTGCCGAGTACAGCTGCCTTCAGAAAGTTCTTCTTAATCTATCACAATTGTAAATGAATGGGAAAAGCGAGCGACCGATTTCATTCTCGGTATCATTTTGCATTTGCGGACGGTTATTCCAATTAATATCATTTCCTTTTATTTGGGAAGGAGAGACACTGGCAGCGGTCCACTTTACCCATGAGTATGGGTTTCGTTCAAATACCCAATCGATTTCTCGGGACAATTAACAATCAAATGTCGTAACGTGGTTTATTTAATTTCATTTTAAATTGTTGGCACTGAGTTTACTGTTTTATTAGAAATTTCTTTGAAAGAATCATCAGTAGTTTGAATCCGAATTGTAGTACGTGTATTTATCAAGTAGATCAGAGCAGTTGGAATTTGTGTTTCCTGGACAATTAGATTACCAGTCTGTAGGACTAGGACAATATAATTCTATAACTCGTACAGACTGCAGGTAACTTAATTGTAAAGGTAAATAACAAATACCTTTACTATGACTCAAGGCTGTTGGAATTTTAATTATTCATCTTCCAACCGTTATAGCAGTAGCAGGCAAGGGTTGAGTGTGCACTTCGCTGCATAGAGTTTTTTGCTACTGAATCGGGTTAAATAGGTCATTGGTAACTCAAATCACCGAAGGGCACATTTTGTATCGCTAGTCCCAGTCCTACAGGGTGAAATTTCTAAATTGCCCTCAGTCGCAAATTTGGGATTTTTGTATCTCGGCTTCTAAAAGACTTAGAGACTTGAATATTGGCTTAAAATAACCGCAATCTTAAACCAGTATTGAACGGACATCTTAAACCAGTATTGAACGTTGAGTAAAACTTCTGATCCATTTGTAGCTCAGGTGATGTGCCCCAGAACCTCACGCCTGAGTGACAGTGGGCCTTATCGATCATAAGCCGCAAATCACAATGACTTTGGGCCTCAGAGACAAGGGCATTCGTACTCTTGGCTTAAATTGGCTCTTCGTTAGTATCATCAATCAGGTTTATAACTTCTATAGAAGTTAGATATAGATATATCTATATCTATATCAGATGATATAGATATCATCTGCCTGTCCAGTGTCCACCTGTCTCTTTGAGATTCATTATTACTTCAAGTTCAGTCATTTCGCTTCTGTTCAACTGTACAGGTGTAATGAGGGACTTCAGTCCAGCAATATCTCTAGATTTAGCAATATCTGGTTTCGCTACTAATTGTGTTCAGCAAGCAAGTTTGTAAGTTTTCAGTCCTACTGTCCCAAAATATTGGCCCCCAGATCACTGGTAATGCTGGAGTACTGGTAATGCACATTGCACATAGTAATGCTGATTTTTTGCTTAACATAGCTCTTTTTTAAGTTCCTTTTGTATTGGTGTAGCCAAAATTACCGATTTTTGCTAATATCTCTACAAAGAAGCATTTTAGAGCATATAATGATTCATAAGTCTTATATAAATGTGCTCATTGCAAATATTTTTCAGTATCGGAGAAGTTTCTACGACATTTATAGCTCGAGATACAAAAATAATCCGGTTATTCAGGCTGCGATGAGCCAAAAAACAGTTTTTTGTGAATATCTTTAAAACTAGGCACTTGAGACCTTATATTGCTTCATAACTTGTATATAAATAAGGGTATTGCGGTTATTTTAAGCCAATATTCAAGTCTCTAAGTCTTTTAGAAGCCGAGATACAAAAATCCCAAATTTGCGACTGAGGGCAATTTAGAAATTTCGCCCTGTAGGACTGGGACTAGCGATACAAAATGTGCCCCTCGGTGATTTGAGTTACCAATGACCTATTTAACCCGATTCAGTAGCAAAAAACTCTATGCAGCGAAGTGCACACTCAACCCCTGCCTGCTACTGGAGCTGTATAAGGTTCGACAGAGTCGAACCAAAGCGCGCTACCTGGACTCAAGTTCGACGTACGTACTAAAGTTCGACAAGATAACTTTGACTGTCGAACTAGAGTTTTGAAATCTCCGATCTCAAGCAACGATCCTTTACGAGCTTGTTATCTATTCGTTTGTTTGTTTTTCACTAGTCTCATGCTGTTCAATTATGTGTGAATGTAATCTCTATAATCCATATCTATAAACATTTAATTGTCCTCATAGTCATACTCATAATTTAATTGTTGGCTAGCAGAATTGTAGACTTAGCGGAGAGATAAAAGACTAACGTGATAACTCGTACTCCGTTTTATAGATCTAGATTGTGAAGTACGCTTTATAAATATCTACCACGTACCACACTATCCCCTCCCATTTTTAACTGTACCATTCTTGATCGTAGATTTGCAGTATGCATCAATCGTTATGATCGTACGATTTTTGATTGAATAAAGTCTACTTTTATTAATATTATAATGGGGGGATTTCAATATTGGGTACAACT